GAAGCTGCCCGTCAGTCCTATGAAGAACTACTTCCCCGACTACGAGGGTGGCGACGACTACGCAGCGGCCTGTGACTACATTCTCAACCGATTCGTGAGCTTGAATCAACACGAGACGAAGCAAATCTACACACATTTCACATGTGCGACAGACACGACACAAATCCGTTTCGTCATGGCTGCGGTCAATGGTACGTCTCCACTACTACTTCTTGTTGCCCCTGATAATGTAAACAAATCACTGACATTGCGATATAGACATCATCATCCAAGAGAACCTGCGTCTCTGCGGTCTGATCTAGTCAAAAACACTCTTTTCCAGATACCCCTATCACGTTATAATCGCATGATTTCTTCTTTATGAACGATGTTGCCGTCGGTCTTATGAGAGCTTTAGAACACTTTCCGAAAAGCGGTAGTGCGGGTTATTGCCACCCCGCGGCCTCTCTCTCTCTCTCTGGGTCTGGGCCGATTTCGACGCTCACTTTCCATAACTGTCACGCCACAATCAAGTCGATATCATTTACCAGATCACTTGCGACTCGAGTCACAGCAGGTTCGACGAAAAGTCGCCTGCATACACATAAGCACACAAACGAAGCAAATGCGGGGAGGCCGAGGGAGGGTGGATATGCATTTGAAAGAGTATAAGGGGGAAGTTGTGTTCAATATGCTATTTAATTATGAAGTCTGACAATGTTGCTGTTGTTCTTGTCCTTTTTCTTGCAGGTTTTTTTTTTCTTTTCTATTTTCTTCTTCTTTCTTGATTTACCTTGTTCTTTGATTAATCCCATAAAGGCTCTCCCCCTCCTTTAAGCGGTGGGCGTAAAGGAGGGGTGGCAAAGCTTTGGGTGACGGGAGAAAAGGCATGATGTTCTTCCCGCTTGGAGGTCACACAACAATACAGGATGAGGCGGTAGGCGAAGAAAGTGACGAGGGGTTTCCGCAAGCTGGTCGCTTTTCCCTCCGTGTCCAACTAGGAAAACAAGAAGACCAAAAACGTGGTTGAAAGCAGGCAAAAGAAGAGAAAAATCTTTCGGACAGGGTTTTTGTTTATTTTCCTTTTCCGGACAACGGGGCGGTCTTCCCGATGAATATTGCTCGCCCCCAGAATCAGGATTTGGGGGACAGAGAAGCAATATGTTGAAAGTTGTCTATAGCATCATGAGCTCCAATTTATTTGAAAAGCCCTTTAATATTGTGTTACCTGTGGCTGTGTGGTGATCTTTCTCGTGTGGATTTTCCCTTGAGGATCTCTGTCTTTCGGTTCGGCTCGGTTCTTTGCTTGTGTGTGTGTGTGTGTGTGTGTGTGTGTGTGTGTGTATCAGATGACTATCTTTGTGGATGTGTATCTTGTGTTTTTGTGCCTGTAGTTGTGAATGTGTAATAGTATGCAGTTCGTGGTCCCGCGGTGTTACCTGGAAAGCTGCAGGCTTTCGCCATCACAACTTATGGCCCCCGGCCCGGGTTTGTAATAAATTTACTTGGAACGAACAAAAAGTTTAGTGATGCCTGGGTATACCATACCCAACACCAGACTATACGACGCGCTGCGTTGCGGTTCGCGCTACGGAGCGGGCGCCCGGACGGACGAAACACACGAGGAAAAAGGCGAATAGCGTTTATTGGCATTTCCCGCACATCCCCATTTGACATTCGGCCATTTTGGATCCTGCATCCCTGGGATCAATTTGCCCTGTGCAGTGCCGCGTGACAGGCCCAGCTCAGACGATCTAGCGGACATGGTTCAATCTAAGGGTGTGTGACAAGGTTTGAGCATGCTTAATTCGATGTTTTGACGGATGAGTGTGTTTGGCGTTGGTGGTTTTGAAGGGCTGGATGGCTTGGCATTTAGTGGTTGGAGCTGAGTGAGTTGACAAAAATGGGGGATTTCGAAATGATTTGCTCAGATGGTATGGTAGTATTTTTGGCATTTGTAGACACAGAGGCTTTACAGAGATGTCTGGAATGATGAAAGCAGAGGGGGAGCCTATAGTATATATATGTATATACTGTACATATTATCTAAGCTTTTATTTGTACAGCAGGGAGAGGGGAGGTAGGTGGTCGGATGTACTAGTTGAAGAGATGTACGGATATTTGTATGTACCCTCTCCCCGTGCAGCGTGCCATGGAGGATAGTTGTCGCACTTCAACTCTACATGTCATTGATGCTGGGCTGATGTGCGTGGTGTTGTGGCAAAGATAGTCATGCTCGAGTGGACGATTTGGGTATGGTGAAAGCGAAGGAGGGGTAGTGGTAGTTCCGTCATATATTCAGTCTATACATGTACACATGATTGTATACTCTTTGAAAGTGAGGAGTAGAAAGAAGATGCTTGCTTGCCTGCTGGTGGCACTGGCTGCCAATGAATTCTGATTCCCACCATTCATGGGTTAAATGATAATAAGACGGATTCATGTACGAATCTCAGTACTCTTGGTGTTGATCCGGCACTCGAAAAGCTTGATACGGCACTGAAGCACTTTGCAAGATGTCAGGTGAAAAATGCTAAACTTGGGACGTATCAATTTCAGATTGTTGCTCTATCGTACATCCTGCGAGATGAAGAAGCCCATCCAGACTTTCATAAGAAAGTCCATTTGCGTGAATATTGCTTTCACTTTCGCATATAACCATGAAAACAGTGTCGACAGACCCTTACCAAAGCTGCCCAAAAATAATCGAAAACTACTAGTCCAACTTTCCTACAGTCCGCCGTCAGCCATGTCATCATCACCAGGCGGACTATCATACTCATGCACTCCCTGTTTTCCGTTGCCATGTGTAAGTATATGCTGATGGCCTCCGCCACCGTCGCCATTCTGCTCTTCGTCTTCCGCCGCCACAACAGGCTGCGGAGGCACCACTGACGGAGCCACCGAGTCGACGCCCTCATCGAGACCCAAGCCACTAGCAATCTCCTCTGCCTCGACAATCTTGAGAGCCAGCTGCTTGGCAGCGACCTCGACCTCAATTAAGGCGCGCTGGTACGGCGTCGCCTGGCGGACTTGCATCAGTGCACTCTGTACCGTGCCTTTGACACCGGCGTCATGTGAGAAGAGCGCGCCAGAGGCGTTCCACAGCGCCGCGGCCTGAAGCTGCGCGGGTGAGGTGCCTGCAACGAAGCCGCTGCCGACAGCTGCACTGCCGCCGGCACCGACGACGCCGCCGCCTGTTGGATCGGCTGTTGCGCCTGGTGGAATGGCGACAGGGACCGCGTAAGGGTGGGCTGCTGGCTGAAGAGGTTGTGATTTCTCTGTTTGGTATATGCTTAGCAATCCCGTTCAAGATGTGATGATTCATCTCCCAGTATGAAACCAGTCCCGGAATGGACGCAGTGGCAATGTTCAGCCACCGACTATCACATGTAATGAAGTGGAGCAGACTCTTACCATGAAATGAACATCTCGACCCCGAAGCGTTGAACCAGCAATTCGCACAGCTCCCCATCATCTGTCCATTGTACACCACACAGACGGTCCACGGGCCCTGGCCCTTGCGGCAGTGCGTGCACGGATTGGCCGCCTCGGTGCCTGCAATCTGCGCAAAGAGTGCCTCCACGTTGCTGCGGCGCACGAGATTCAGATCCTGGCCGTGGCGGCGCTGCTCGGCGAGCCGCTGGCCTGGATCCCGTGACATGCGCTTGGCAAACGCACTGTCGACCTTGAAGTCTTCATAACCTGACTCGAGTGCCAATTCCTCGGTTGTCTTGAGCGGTGGCTCTGGCGTAGACTGCTGGTGGTGCTGGTGGTGATGTTGATGTGGATGATGAGGAGAAGAATGCTGAGTGTGCTGTGGCTGTCGATGGTGGACCATGGGCGCCCGCACAGGTGGAGAAGCTGGCGGCATGTTGCTGGCGGACGAGGAAGAGGCGCCGTTAGGATGGCTTTGTGGTGTCTGCTGCGGCGCCTGTTGGTGGTGGTGATGATGATGATGTTGCTGACTTTGCTGCTGCCGTTGCTGTTGCTGTTGCTGAGGCGGTGGCGGCGGCGGCGGCGGCGCAGGTGGGAGCGGATTCGGCTGGAAATCAGTCGCCGCGACCAGCGGCTGGGGCGCGGGCATCGTCGAGCCTACTGACAGTACAGGCGGCGGACCCGTGGGAGGCTGCAAGTCGGCGGCTGTGGCGGCCGCGGCAGCAGCAAAGTGCAGCGGGCCGTCATCTTGGAGCAAGCTGGGTGAGGCAGCCAGGTCGTCTATGCTCTGGTGCGGGTGCTGGGTGGGTGTCATGGGAGCCATGGGGGCCATGGGAGCCATCGCATGGTCCATTGCGTCGTCGACGTGAGCGTGCGGCGGCGGCGCTTGGTCGTGGCCGTGATCGTGATCGAGTGCTTGGCTGTCGTGGTGGTGATGGTGTTGTTGTCGATGATTTTGGTGGTCTGCCTCAGATCCTGCCTCAGCTTCGGCCTCGTTGCCTGGCTCGCCGGCACTGCCAGTGCGGTGATGCGCAAAACTATCGTCACCGTCACCAGCTCCACCATCGCCGTCCCCCATCACCTCGTCGACTACCGTGTTGCCATGGTGTTGATGGCTTGGCTGTGGTTGCGCATTCTCAAAGTGCGCGGCCAGCTGGTCCTCATCAATCCTCCTGCTGGTGTTGATTGGCCTTCGCGGGGCGCTTGGCGGTTTGGTGACTCGATTTGGCCGCCCTCTGGCTTGCATCTTCCAGGAAGACGAGAAGGTAAGGTGCAATGGCCTGGTTGGGAACGTTGGTCGCGTTGGGGACGGGGCGCCGCGCAGCGCAGAACGGAACTCAGCTGGCGACAGCTGGCAGCTTTGTGACGGCGGTGGTTGTTTTGTTTCGTCGTTTTTTTCTGGGACCCAGCCAAAAGATCCAGTCCTTTCGGGCAGGCGGCTCCATTCTCCCCCCCCCTCTTGGCTGTGTTCTCTGGTGGCTGGTGAAATGATGGTGAGGGAAAATTTGGGTATATATATTGTATTGAACACACTCACTCAACAGCAACTGCTACCTCGGCGCACACGTCGAGTCCCAATCGGGTCTTTCGTAGTATAGTGGTCAGTATATGAGCTTGTCATACAAAAAGATGGACTACATCTTGCAGTAACAACGCTCGAGACCCGGGTTCAATTCCCGGCGAAAGAGACTTTTTGCTGCTCACCCCGATTTCTTTCTTTGGCTGCAACATACTATACATGCAACCCCACCTCATTTTGCTTTTGTTCTGTCGCCGCGATATATCCAATATTTATTATTTATCCCTTGCGAGAGTTGTTCTATCTCCAGCTTTCGCAATCGTCCCGTGAGCTTGTCATGATTGCTCAGAGACCACTAGTCGTTTCACTGGTCTCCGTTGCTGCAACTGCAGGCAGTTTCTCTCCAGGTCTCTTTCTGCCAATCCACAAGCCAGTAGGCGCGGCATGCATCAAATACTGATGCTCCCACCGTTTGTATCGAGGCAGAGTCGGGACTTGTAGCCTCAATGACCGATTCATTAAATCCGAGATCGTTATGGCGCATTCCCGCAGGCCTTGTCGGCTTAGTTCTTTTGACATGGCTCCTCACGTCCATGGGCGATAGCACGTCCAAAGGCCCGAGACCAAGCTCACGTCAGTGCAGCTACAAGGCGAAGCGACACTGCAAGCCACATACTGCTGCCAGGCAACCCAGCAAGGAGAGCTTGTCTCGCGAACGTGTCGAAGACAGGCAAGGCGCATTGTATCGCACATTCCACCTCTTTGCCAGCCTTCCGCCAGAGTTGCGCGGTCAGATATGGCGAGATGCTATGCCCGCGCCGGGCGCCAACATCATCCGCATGTCTCCTGTCTTTGAACGCGGCGCTGGCAACGACGTCTACAGGTGCACATTGCACTGGGATTCTCCTCCCGCCGCTCAAGACTATTCTGTGTGGCAGACGCGCCAAATACTCATGGCCACGTGTCGTGAGGCCCGCGCGATGACGAGGCCTCCGGCCGATAAAAGCGTCAAGCTGCGCCTAACAAGGCCGCAACGGTACACGGAGAGCGACGCCGGCCGGCTCGCTCTGTTCAGGACGCCATGGATAAGCAGACAGATCTTGCTGCATGTTGACGAGATGCTCGTGCTCGAGATCCAGCAAGGCTTGGACGAGCTGAACACGGCGGGAGAAATGTATGGCCAGCGGTGGCGGCCAAAAGTGCCTGGGCTGCCGCACCTGTCTGGGACTATGGGCATCTCCTTTGACAAAGTTTGCATCGAGTACACCGAGTTTCAAAACACTCAATATTGCAGCATCGACTTGCTGATTTTGCAACTGCGCTGTCAACCTACCCCCTATCCGCTCTTCCGCACCATCACTAGCCGCCATCCTAGCACTAGAGAGATCCCAAAGCGGTTCCTGGCGCCCGGCGAGGGCGTGTACTTCCGTCACATGGTCACGTACTATGGTGCCTTGTGGCAAGAGCTTGTTTTGTTCGAAGTGGACAGTATCCGCCACCTCGCGGGCCTGCCATCGTCTCGCGTCCTGGTCTCGCCGTTGTATCCGTGTGACTTGACCGCGCCTGCGCCTTGGCCCGTCACCGAGGCCGATCTCGAGGATCCCCGTGAGGTGTGGAACTCGTTTGTGCGGCAGGGTGAGGGCTGGCGCTATCACAGCTTGCTACGTCCATCGATTGCTCGTTCAGACTTGCGCCATGAAGTGCTTGGTCTTATTCAATAAGCTGCTGGTACTGAGATGCAGCACTATGCGAAACGAGTGTGAGAAACTAGGGAAGAATGAAGAGAGCGAATAAAGACAGACTGGGCATGGATACTTTACGGGTCAGTCGAGTATTGCTTCCATCACTCGTTGATGCTTTGTCGAATCCGCACGTGTCTATCGTTCTCTGGATTCTTTCCCTTTTTTGTTTGTATTTTTCTAATAAAAAAAATAATAAATTTATCCACCGAAGAGGAGCAGAACTTGCTTCAAGTAAGCAGCTCTGGTATTCAAAACATGCAAACCTGCACTGGTCCATGATTCGTCAAGAAAGGAGAGAATGAGTTGGTTGGTAGCAGAACAGATCATGCAGCCCAGATCATGCCGAGCTTCGAAGAGAACGCCCCTCTGAACATTGAGACAGTTGCAGCTCGAGGTAGGAAGCACTGACCAGGTGAACGGCTCTCTGCTGGGCGTCAACTCTGGATACAGAGACATGAGTCTCGCGCAAATCTCTATTGCAGTAACGGAGACGATACGATGACAGTTGGGCACAAATTCTGGAGAGCCTCCTTCTATCGGATAAAGCCTAAGTTTGAAGGATGCCAAACACAATTTCGGCCTGAAATTTTGTCTTCTTCAGAAGCTGAGTGTACTTCTCGGCCTTTCTCGAAGGAGAAGAAGAGAAAGGAAATTGTACCTCTGCAGCTTGTCAGCGAAGTGAAGTTCCGAGACTAGGATTCCTCGAGCTTGCGGGCTCAGAATGATCTTGTCTGATAGCGTCTGGTACTGAAGACAGCGGTTGATCCGCTGAGATGATGTCTGTCTGACTGACTTGATATACTACTGCTGAAGTGGTGGCTGGCATACAGTAGTGAGCGTAACTTTCTTGCTGTCTGCCTTTACCCAATCGTTGATCCTTTGGTGTGTTGTTGTGTGCTCCTTTGTATGGATATTCTTAGTCTGCTAATACTGTTCAACTCCCAAGATGGAAAGAATCCGACTCCGTGGTGGCTGTGTTGCAAGGTCAAGAACATGAAAGGCCTTATGTTATGGTATGCATGTAAGATTGTGTATTGAAAGCCGTTCAGTATCTCCTCAATTTTCACGATTCATGTGCAATATGTGCTATGACTAAAATGTTCATGGCAGGCATAATTCAACCATATCTTGTCGGAGCATAATACGAATTTGGGGGTAAGCTATCAATGGGATTGAAGAATGCAATCCGAATTTCTGCTGCTGATGGTCGTCAAGGATACACCTAGATACTTATGCACAATTGCTGCCCAATAGCTTTCGAGATCCTTGGTCTTTGCACCATCGAAGCAAGTTAATCACGAATGAACGGACCATTTCATGCTCTGTGATGGTAATAGGACTCGACGGTTCAACGTGAATTGACTCATGTAGCGGAAATGCAACATGACCATTTTGGTCGTGTATAGAATCCGCGTGAACAACGCAAACGGATGTCAAGGGCTTGATCAAGCAGGACGTATAGTCAGGATAAATAAGTCAAGCGACAGTCGAGTCATACTGAAGCGTTCCTTTTCTTGCAGACATGTATTGTTGCAACCGAGACTCATCTGACGGCCGACGGTCCCGCCCCGGTCATTGAGAGCGCTTAGACATAAGACATCCAACCTAAAGATTGAACATCGAAGCACTCAAAACCAGCCAGAAATTGGAATACGAGTGAGAGGGAACAGACATTTCAAGGATGGCAAATCAAGAGCCCTGCATAGGATCAAGAACAGGGTGGTTGGCGCTGAAGTGAGCCCAAAGAATGAAGCAAAAGAAGCGAGGCATTGCGAGACACGGAGGCAGGGTTAAGGGAGGAGGCGTACAAGTAAAATTGCACCAGGATTGGACGCCTTCAACGGGCCAGTGGTGCCGCTGTGATGCTGTGAAAGGGCCTTGACTGGTGGCGGCCAGTAGCACATGAGCCCAGTAAAAGGGCTGTTTAGTGGCGGCATTACAGGGCCTGGCTTAGTAGACTCACGCCTCGAGCAGCCCCGTAGCCCCCTGGAATCTGCCCCTTGTTAGTCAACCCAAGTCCGGTAGCGTTACACACTGGACGGATGTGTCTTCCTGACCGAGTCTTGCACCCAATCAAAGCCTCAGATGGAACAGAGACCCATTTTAACATCACGTGAATTGGCGTTTGTACCACCGTATCCCGGGACTTCTGCGACGCGGTTGGTCAACTTGCACGCGTTATCTCCTCGCCTTGTTCACTCAAGCCAAGCTGACCGTGAGGCAACCGGGCTACTTCCCGCAAAGACCAACGCCTCAGCGCAGCCGACCAGCCTTTTGTTGCAGGGAGCGTGACGCCCAAAGCATATAAATATGGCTGGCCATTCCCACCCGTCCGCCCTGGCCTTGGGCGGCCCTTGTCCCTTCGCCCTCGCTTTTCTTGGTGTTGGTCTACGTCAGGTTTTCTGCCTGAAGTAACTCGGTTCACGCCGCCCCCAATATTTTGAATCATCCAGCGTCTTTCTGTCGTGCTCTATAATTGCTTCCGACTGAATTCATGCTTCTCCTACGTCCTCCTTTTTTGTCTTTTCCCTCGACAACCGGGCTGTGGTGAGCATCTCTGTTCACGCATCGTTCACAACAGTCTGCGGCCGTTGTCTCGAATTTCTCTGCGAGGTGAATTGATTCCGGTCAATTCGTAGGCGACAGAACTGCAAACATGTTTAGCAAATTGAATCCGACCAAGCAAAGCTTTTCCAAGGGCTCGAAGCACGGAAGATCCAACTCTTCCTTCAACAAGGAAACCGGTGTATCCAAGCGCCGCCACGAGCCGAGACGCAGAGCACACAGCGTGGCATCGCCGTCCACTGCATCTGAAGCATCCCTGGGAAGGTGAGATCCAAATCCAGAGCACATCGTCAATGCGTCCCATTCACGACTCGTTTATTGTGCGTTCTTCATTCTGACACCTGCAGCGGCATCAGCCCTATTATCACGCTTGTGGTCGGCCACGAACACCGTCTTTTTGCTGCCCATGACGATGTTCTTACCCGAGCACCCTACTTTTCCGAGCTTTTGAGGTACAACATCGACCAATCTCCAAAGCGCATTGCGCTTCCTGACGAGTCTCCCGAGATCTTTTCATCTGTGCTCGAGTACCTTTACAAGAGCGACTACTACCCATGCCTCGTTCATAACAAAAAGCGGAACTCATGGGAGTTGGAGCCTACTGGAGATGCACCTGGTGCTGGAACCGAAGCCATCATGTACTATCACGACTCTGAGGGTCCATTGCTCAAGGACACGGTCGTTTACTGTGCGGCGGAGAAGTACGGGCTTGAGGAGTTGAAACGCCTTGCCCTACGCAAACAAGGCCTTCGTGAGTGTCATGACTATCATTTGTCTTGTCCCATATCACATGTCTCATCTCGTCTCGTCGCTTCTACTATTCAGATAATTGCCGAGTGCTAACAGTGTCTTTTCAGAATCT